GCTAACATGTGAATGTTTGACAGAGGTTAACAATGCATACACATGTTACATGTCACCTTCTAATGTTAAATTTTATCTTATTTTCCTAAACTCAAAAACATAAGAGGATAAAAATTCATATATTATAATATAAGGGGTAAAATGCCTCAAATTTGAAAAATTGAAGGGCAACCGGGGGGCTTTTGCCCTGGCTCTGGCCTCCGCTCTGTTTCTGTTTTGCTTTGATAATTTTCCCTGGGCTTCTCTTGAATTTTGTTGCTGTGTTCCATGGTAGGTAGAAAAGGCTTACCTTTTTTGGAGATTGAGCTATATTTTCAATCCATTTGGCTGGCAGATTGGACCAGGCCCCAGTATCTCCATAGAGCTTCTTCAAATTGACCTTTGAGGTTGGGCTTGGGCAACGCCAACACGACCTGGGCTTTTGGTAGCATGCCTTGCTTATTAGCCCACGCCTCGTGGTCGCAACTGTGTACTTAATAAAATTCACCTATTTAGTTTTTTTTTTTTTTTTTTTGATATTTTATTTACATCTGATGATGAAAATAGCCTTTCTTTTTTCTTAAATTTCTTTTTACTCAACTCAAAATTCAAATTTGATATTTTTAAGTTAGAATTTTAAATTCTTAATGAATTAAGCTATTCCTTGAGGGCTAAAAATGTAAATGAGGATTCTTCTACTTAGTTACCACTAAAAAATTTCCCTTTTTTTATTGATTCTTTCAATTACATAGAGAAATTTTCTTTTTTAAAAAGCACTTTGGCTCCTGGTGCAACTCTTGGGGCAAATTTCTGCTGTCATCCAATATATCAGAAGTTGGTGCTTATAAATTATGTGTTATTTTCCGACACTTTTAAAAACTATTCTTTATATATATATATATGTTACGCTTTGAATTTCATAAAGAGCTCTAAAGATAGGTTGTAATTAATAAAGGTTTCAGACTCCAAATTTAAAATCATAAGTTAAAACTTTAAAATAAGTGAAAATAGAGTTACCATGTATGTTTTATTCTAAGCCCACTCATTT